ACAGAAGGCAGACCTCATCCTACCAAGTGCTGTTGCTGCAGTTGAGAGCTGTTTGACCAGTCTTGACTACATGAAAACCAACCCTCTCCCAGATGGTATGCTGGAAACTTTCATCACACAGTGTCTGGAAAAGCAAACTCCTGGTGCTCATATCACAACTTTTCAGGGCATTGACTTGAGAGGGGAAAGAGAGAGCCTGATGGACAATCTGAGAAAACAGATGGAGCATGCATGTTCAGCCTGTGAGAAACACCTTCATGCTAAATTGGATAACCTGCTTGGAGTTAACAAAGATCAAAATGCACAAGCTGTGATGTCAGCATTTGCAATATTCAACCATGACAAGTGGCCTGATGACAGAAAACAACTTGAACTATTGTACGGCAACAAGGAGCTGAAGGTACTCACTGAATGGTTCAGAGAGAAGCTTGTTCAATCTGGATGTCAAGTTGAAGAAATCCCTGGGGAATGGAGACGCTTGAAAAGGCGAGTGTCTAATGATCTTCATGGCAAGTCCTACTTGGGCCTGTACCAGACGCTGCTGCTGAAGCAACCCTACAGAGATGAGATGCAAAACATTCTTCATCTTGTTCAGATTCTTCTTGTTCTGCCAATCAGCTCTGCCAACTGCGAAAGAGCCTTCAGTGCCCAAAAGAGAATAAAATCAGATGTCCGCAGCAGACTCACATCCTCACGCCTTTCAGACCTGATCCTCATTTCAACAGAAGGCCCAGAGCTTCAGCAGTATGATCCATCATCAGCTGTGGAGAGGTGGCTGAAGTCAAGTGGCAAGAGAAAGCCATTTGCTAAGAAGTAATAGATTAAATCCATATGCAACCATAAAGAATAATTCAGACAGACAAAGTATGTTTTGTTTAATTTATTTACTATTTTTTCAGTTGCATCATTCATGCATTTCATGTAAAAAGTCTGGCAAGTAAAATAAAAAACTTACTAGCCAATGGTGACTCAAGCTTCATTGTGTCCGTAGAGGGTTGTTCACAATAAGAGAACCAGTCAGTCTTCTCTTTGACAATTTACAAAAATTGTGAACCGAAGATTTCAGTAGACCACTGGTGGTGCTTCATGGCCATTTTGTTGCTACCAGTTGACCTGTTAAACCTGAAGCTCTCTCTTCACATTTTATACAGTGCCCTCCACTAAAATTGGCATGATTGGTAAATATGAGCAAAGGTGGCTGTGAAAATTAATCTGCATAATTAAATTTATAATAATTAATCTTCATAATTTAATCGTATTATGAAACGTTGACCACAATTATTGGCACCCAATTTTTGCAACATCCTTTTCCCAAGATAACGGCATTATAGAGTCTTCTCCTATAATGCCTGATGAGTTTGGAGAACACCTGACAAGAGATCAGAGACCATTCCTTCATACAGAATCTCTCCAGACCCTTCAGATTCCCAACTCCATGTTGATGCTTCTTCTCTTCAGTTCACCCCACTCATTTTCTATAGGGTTCAGGTCAGGGAACTGGGACAGCCATGGCAGAAGCTAAATTTTGTGCTCAGTGACACATTTTTGTGTTGATTTTGATGTTTGTTTTGGATCATTGTCCTGAGAGTAGATCCAACCATAGCCTAACAGAGGCATTCAGGTGTAGATTTTTTATCTTTTGGTATTTGATAGAATCCATGATGCCATGTATCTGAACAAGATGTCCAGGACCTCCGGCAGAAAAATATGCCCACAACATTAAAGATTCTGGAGTTTGTTTTTGGATAAGCGAGGAGGATTTTTCTTCAAACCCAAACTTCAACTATAATCTCTGCAATTCTCCAGCTGTGATCCTTGGAGTCTTTGGCCACTCAAACTCTTTTCCTCACCGTGCATTAGGACGATATAGACACACGTCCTCTTCCAGGCAGATTTGTAACATCTTTAGTTAATTGGAACTTCTTAATTATTGCCCTGATGGTGGAAATGGGTATTTTCAATGCTTTAGCTATTCTCTTACAGCCACTTTCTATTTTGTGAAGCTCAACAAACTTTGTGCTGCACATCAGAACTATATTCTTTGGTTTTACTCCTTGTGATGGATGATTAAGGGAATTTGGCCTTTGTGTTCTTCATATTTATGATCCTGTGGAACAGGAAGTCATTGCTGGACAATTTCATGCTCCTAGTCACCCTGGTGTGCTAAAAAAAATGGAAATATGAATAGAAAAAGACTTCAGAGATATTTTAATCATAAGAATTTCTAGGGGTGCAAATAATTGTGGCCAACATGCATTGGAGAAACACATTTATTTCATAATGTCACTTCCAAAAGTGTATTAATCTTTGCCATGTTACGTTCATTTAGTTGACTAGTGCTATACGCTATATTAACAAAAAACATAAATGGCATTAATAAAAACACTTACACTGACAAGCTACGCAATATCGCGTTCATAATCGAATGCGACTC